CGCAGTTCCTAGAACAAAACATCCATGTTATGTTATTATTTTTAAACATCCATAGTTGAAAGGTTTAACGCAAAAAAGGAATTAACAAATTAAACATCCATGTTTGTTAACATCATAATTCTACTTGATTAGGTGTAATTCGCTAAAAAATTCTTAATAAAAAAAGAAAACTTTACTTACTGCTGGTATGACGAGGAAATCGCATCCACTGTAAACACTTCCATTGAAAAGCATTTATTTGTTTGTTCAAGCGAATTAGTCAGAATACGTAAGAACAAAATTTCGTACGAATTCGCATGCATAGTAACCGTAGCCTTAGACAGCCGGTCCAGAACTAGGACCAGGTTATAGAATAAGGGTATTTTTTATTAAAGTCTTATTGACATTGATAATATAATAGAGCTTGACGGTAAAATCTATGTTAGAAATTAAAATCTATGTTAGAATAAAATCAACAACTAATAATAAAAGTTAACCTTTTTTGGTCTTCCCATTTTTTGAAAATGATTCAAATATTTATGTAGCAAGAGCTCTTAAAGTGTATTGGAAAAGACAAAATATTTACTACGATCATGCAGAGCCTCATTTCTGGCTCATAAAAAAACTGTTCATTAGGCCACTTCACAAACCATTGTCAGATGGAATATTATTTTACAACAGAGTGGCCTGCATATAAGTCAGTTTAAAGCACATAGCACACGTCACGCTGTGGGTGCGTGACACAATGGGTCCTTGGTTTGCAATAAAGAATTTGAGAATACGATTTTAAATATTTAAAAAGAACCTGATTTATGTTAAGAACTATATAAAAGAACTATACAAAAACAAATTACAATGTGGTGTATAAAAACTGTCCAAAAACTTACATCGGACAAACAAGTACAACTTATGACACACGTAGAGAAGAACATAAAAGGGCGATTAATAATAGAAAAACAATATACAGACATAGTGTTGAATGACCAACTTGAGATAAACAGATCTCTTTCCGCAACTTATTTAGCTAAAGACTATAAAGTGTAAAGGCATACCAAAATAGATCACTTGGGAAAGGCAGTCCGCTGAAACAGCTATAGTGATAAAAAATTTTGTGGAAGTTTTAAAAATAGTAGTTTTCAGCATTTTATTTTTGATAAAATATTGTTTATCAAAATATTAAGTGTCATTTTATGGACTGCCTACCAAGAGATTCGAGTCGTCTCATAAAGCGTAGATTTTAAGTCTTGCAAAACTTTAACGGAAAAAGCTTCCTGAGATCAATTGTTTTGGCACATTACTTATCTAGCAATATTTTAAAGTCTGATACATCTGAAATAATATGCATTTACTAATAGAGTGGGATTCTCTATGAAAGCGGCATTCTATTATTCCCTAGAAGACAGATATCGTTTTTCAAATCCAACAGGTGATACTCTGTATATTTTTCAATAAAGGAAACATATTAAATAACATCTTTTACAAAGAAATAACAAAAGATGCAGGTAGATAGATGCTTAAAAGCTATATGATATCCGCAACGTTACTGTTCAATTCTTTGCCAAAACAGATACCCAGCAATGACATATTACAGGCTATGCAAATGACCTGGTGAACTTAGATCAAGCACATAATGATGCTCTCTAATGAAGGCTTAATTTATAGACTATATCGCATAGAATCTAAAACAGTCAACTACATTTTGTATGACTGCGATGCATTAGATTGTAAAAGAACACTTTTTGGAAACTATTAACCAACTTTCCAAACATATGATATTCAACTACTAGACCTGTATCACCAGATGCACAGTTCTAACATTCTGCATCTTGCAATAAAAAAAAGTAGAATTAACCAATTGGCTGCAGTATATCACATAGACAATAAACGGCTTTGCATTTGTCAAACAACGCCATTTTTCTTTAGTAAGTATATATACTTCATCTAATTTAGATAACGACTTATGTCATTATCTACGTCAGAGATCGAAGTCGACATAGTTGCCAAAGTATAAAAAAATCTTGACTCCATTTTAAATCAAATAGATCACATAATTATTGCAAAAGTATTACCATCTCTTTACAATGACTATTTAAATTCTTACGTGTTATTTTTGAAATAAAACACACTAATTTTGTTCTGGAAGGCACAGATTTTATTAAATAGGTAAAAATATAAAACAAGAGATATTCACTTTAAAATTCAAAATAATAAAGAACAAAAAGTGTCAACTCCGCAACTGTCAAGTAAGTCAATTGTAGAAAGCGAAACCGGTCGTCTGATAGTTAAATTAAATTAATTGTGAGTAAGTCTTATTTATTATTTCTTTACCTATTTGAAATGGACTTCACAAGCAACACATTCATGATTTAATGTTACCAACTTATGCCAAAATTTTACCTTCGTTCGATTACAGTTACAGTGTGTTCCGAACAAATGTTCTTGATAAAAACGCTTTATAATGCATTTATACAAATTAAATGAAACATATTATTGTGTATTTCTTTAAGTTAACATTAATAGAAATTTTTAAATATTATTTCTACCCGTATATGATAAATATGATAAAATATGTCTAGTGGCTGTAATGCCAGTGTACTCGGTAAAGTGATTCTAAAAAAGAACACACCTACACCCTAAATATTTTGTGTTGGTATCATGTGACGTCACAGGCTATGACGCCGATGACGTGCATCGGTATATAAATTAGATGAAGTGTATGTAATTTATTATTTTCGCATTATTAATTAAACATTTGTAAAAACATCGATGTTTCTGTAGAACAGTGGAACGAGAGTAATATGCAACAAGCTTTAAAAAGCATACAAGAAAAAACTATGGGGTTTAAGCTGGCAGCAAAAACATTTAACGTTCCAAAAACGACTTTGAAAAGGCGCTTTATTAAGCATCAAGGAAGTATCAAAGGTGATTTGGGAGGACGAAGACCAATATTCTCCACTACTATTGAACAGGAAGTTGCTGACCATATTATTACTATGGAAACTCGTTTTTTGGCCTGACTAGTAAAGATTTGCGAAAACTTGTATACGAAGTAGCTGAAAGAAACAATATTAGCCACAATTTTAATAAGGAAACCAGGATGGCAGGCTGGAAATGGGTCAGAGGCTTTTTAAAGCGAAATCCTCGAATATCATTACGCACTCCAGAAAATACTTTAATGGCAAGGGCTCAAGTTTTTAATAAACCAAATATATGTGCCTATTTTACTTCATTAGCAAATATATTAGACGAGTTTTACTTTCCACCGGAAAACATTTATAATATGGACGAGTCCGGTTTGACAACTGTGCAAAAGAAATCGCAGAAAATGTATGCTAGTAAAGGTCGCAAACAAGTTTAATGCTTTAAGTAGTGCAGAGCGCGGTCTACATGTTACGGTCGTATGTGCAATGAATGCAATTGGAACATATGGTTCTCCTGCTTAGATTTTTTCTCGACAGAGAAAGAAAGGTGAACTTATGATCGATGCACCTACTGGAAGTATAGCCTTTATGTCAAGAAAAAGGATGGATGACTTCCGATATTTTCTATTTGTGGCTGCAACATTTTTTAAGGTATACAAAGGCTTCTAAAACCAACAAAGTTTTGTTGTTACTCGATGGCCATGGTAATCACAAAAGTTTTGAAGCTCTCCAGTTTGCAAAGGAAAACGGTATTATTATGTTTTGTTTTCCTGCTTACTGTTCTCATCACGTTCAACCCTTGAACGTAGGATTTTTTAGACCACTTCAAATTTACTACGGCCAAGAAATTAAATTATGGCTGCGACAGAATCCAGGTAAAACGGTGACCCAATTTAAAGTAGCCAGTCTCTTTAATAGAGCGTATTTAAAAAGTGCTTTACCATCAAATGCAATCAATGCATTTAAAAAGACAGGAATACAACCATCTATGTCGTCTATAACAACAGATAGAGAAAATTCTGAACAAAACCCACTGCCAGAATGTTCTGACCAGAAGTCACCACCGGAACATTGGAGCCAAAATGTTTCTTCGATTGAAAGTTTATCAAAAAGCCCCACTGATCAGAAATCAACATTTTTTTTTGTCCTCCTCCTTTAGCTGGAGTATCTCAAGTAATGCAGAAAAGGGGTAGAAAACGGGGTAAAACAGGATATTTAAATTCAACGCCAGAAATTGAAGATATAAAACAAAAAATTGCAGACAAAGAAGCAAAAAAAGGAAACAAGACGCCAGAAAAGTGAAAAGGCAAGTTCGTGATTCAACTACAAGTGGTTCTGAAGACGATTGTGAATGCTCTTTTGTAGAAGGCGACTCGGACGATGCAGCTTGCATCTACTGTAACGAACTATTTTCGCATTCACGATCCAATGAAAAATGGATGAAAACGAATCCATTTGTAAGTGTGTAATGTTTTTTATCGTTTGTAATGTCTTTTGATCTAATAAAATAATTTGGTATTTAATTATTTTACACAAAATGCAACGAGTCCATCATGGGCGTACCAAAGGGTCCATCATGAGCGCATATATGCCCATGATGGACCCTTAACAAGATTTTAGTAAATTATGAATAAATTTTTAACATCACTTTTTCTGCAAAATTTGAAACATTTGCCATCTTTTACAAATAACGAGACGTTATGTGGTCATATTTAAAGTCTGCTAAGTAAATAATTAAAATTATTATGAAGCTATTTTCTTAAGGGGACCATCATAGGCACATTTCCCCTACTTGTTGGGATATACGGGGTAACTTCAATAAGCGTGTCATTATATATATTACTAGCCAGTAAAAACAGTAATCTACACTTAAATATTGTTCGATGTTTTCATTTAACATCCATGTTATTACTGATGGCAAAACATCAACCATCGAGCGTTTAAAATGGATGTTTTTCGTTCGGTGTCGCTCGATCAACGATTCGTACTGAAAACTGTAAAATTCTACGAATCCGGAACGTTTAGACCTCAAATTCAAAAGTAGACAGTACACGAAATATAGATTACTTCTAAGGTATTTATAAAATTATCAAAACTTACCCTTGTCATCATATAGGTTCCCAGACATAACCCAGAAACACTACATAGAAGCTGAACAAGGACAATTAAACTAAATACGTTATTTATGTTTTTTATAATCCTGAAAAAAAAATTTGCTTCGTAAGAATCATTTGTTTAAGAATAATTCTTCAATGTTAAAAACTTTTATTACTGACACAATTTTGAAGGCAATAGTGCTTTGAGTTTGGCTAAAAGAATAATATATATGTTTAATTTCATAATATTTCGAAGAAATGAGTTTTGTAATGAATTCCAGAAAGGTTTAGGTGAGGACATCTACTGCAATAATATTCAAAGTGCTTTTGGAAAACGAAACTACACTTCAAAATTTGGTCCGAGTTTCAACAGAGAGCATGGAGTCCATAAGTTTAAATCCGGTGAATTATTTAACGGTTGCGCTAAACTCGTAGTGTTAAATGTGTTGTGTTTTTTACAAAATACGGAACAACTTAATGTAAGTGCTGCTGTAAGACGTACTTTTTTGATGACTGGTGTTAGTGAAAAAAGCATTTACAATTTCAAAAAAGAAAAAGAACAGAGTGGAACGTTGAAATCGCCAAAAAAACGTAAAAAACGAGTTTATCAATCAAATTCTAGAATATTCACATATGACGAGGGTATAAGGAGTATTCTTCAGAGAATTGTTCATTGTGAATTTTTTATGAAAAATTTGCGCTGTTCTTAAAGCATATACATAACTTCATACAAGGTAATGAGAATATACAGCCGTTGTCTCTTTCTAATTTATACAGATTTCTGAAAAATATTGGATTTGTTTATAAGAAACGTGGCCGAAAAAACACCATGGTGGAGCGAGAGGATATTATTCATTGGCGCCATAATTATTTGAGAACTATACGACGTTTGCGAAAAGACCATTGCAATATCATATATTTGGACGAATCGTGGGTTAATGTTGGCCAATCTATAAATTACGAATGGTGCGATACTACGATACAAAACAGTCGTGATGCTTATTTCAAAGGTTTAAGTACTGGCTTAAAAGCACCTACTAAACGAGGTCTACGATATGTTTTATTGCATACAGGTTTTTCAGGATGTTTTCTTCCTGGCACACAGCGAGTTTTTCTGGCAAAGAAAAATGATAGCAACTATCACGATAAAATGGATGCCGCATATTTTGAGTCCTGGTTTAAGGAGACATTAATATCAAATTTACCAAATAATGGTTGCAGGAATGTCATTGTAATAGACAATGCATCGTACCACTCCCGTAAAGAGAGATTCCCTAACAATTCCTGGAATAAAGCTGCAATCAAGAAATAGCTAGTGGAAAAAGACATTTTTTCGAGGAGTGTTATTTGAAATCCGAGCTATTAGAAGCAGCGCGTGCTTTTTAAGATCAATACGATAAGTATCATCTTAATGAGTATGTTTCACAACATAATGTTTATATTTTAAGGCTTCCTCCATATCACTGCGAATTGAATCCTATAGAAATGGTGTGGAACCAAGTTAAGCGATATGTAAGTACCCATAATACCACTTTTAAAAACGACGAGGTACGCCAGTTGATCGACGACGGTTTCGCACGCGTCACAGAGCAAAATTGGCGCAATTATGTCACTCATGTTGTTGAAAAAACGGAAAGTGAGATGTGGACTGCGGACAACCTGCAAGATGACGTAGACCAATTGATAATACACGCGAACACAAGGGAGAGTAGCGAAAGCGAATCCGACATCTCGGATGTAGAGGACGACTTTAGTATAATTAATTGAATATCTGTGAGTAACCTCGATTATTTTACACTGTATAACCAATAAAATGCATTTACCAGTCCAATCAGAGTATGGGCTTCTCGGATATTGGGCTGGGTGCACGGAAATCGAGTTCCCGGAGGTTCCACCTGTATATTAATAGCTATCAAGAAATCTAATTTAAAATATATTTGTTAGTTTAATAAAGTATAAATATAATATAATGTTAAATAACTTACACTATAAACCTTATACCTAGTCATCTGGTCAAGTGTGGGCAAGGAAAACCATTATCCCATATGGAATAACACAAGTTTCGCTGAAAACTACCAGGTTGCTATGTCAAGGAACTAGGTAAACTTATGTTGTGTGTGAAAAATGCGAGACTGCATTATGTTTTAACAAGGACAAAAACTGCACTTCAGATTTCACAAAAAAAAAATTCATAGTAGGTGTTAAAATTTCGCAGTGATTGAAGTGCGCAACTTGTTTTTTTAATAACATCGCCGGAATTAAAAAATGTGTAAAGCTTTTTAGATATTCCCGTTCCTGATAATTTTTCACATATTTAAAAAAGGAAAAGTTTTTCTTGGATATTCGGCTGGGTGCACGGAAATCGAGTTACCGGAGGTTCCACCCGGTATATTTATAGCTATCAAGAAATTTAATTTAAAATACATTTGTTAGTTTAATAAAGTATACAGTTTTATAATAAAATTGTAGCTAGAAACTTAAGGTCTTTTTATTCAAGTTCATGCCTCTTTTTTGGCTACTTGAAGGCAATTATTTTATCAATATATTATTTTATAATAAATAACAGAGCCCGGCGTAGAGATTTGGGTACGGTTCTGAGACTACCACTTGGACCTGTTTATATCGCCAAGCACAAGGCGTGAAATCCGGCAATTGTGCATTCCTATATTAGCTGTGTTATGTTTTTTTTTTAATTAAACAAAAACAAATAATTGATAATATAGTTACGTCGTCATATTTGCGGTTGTTCAAAATAAAAGCAAAATTTAATTTACAAATCTTATACAGTACTAACGGAGACACATTGAAATAAACGCTCACTCTGTATATAAAAAGATGTCGCGTAATGCATTTAATGTCACTACAATATTAAATTAATTTAAAAGTAATTATAAACAAACGTACATACTTTAAAAGTAGCAAATGATGGTGTAAACATCTCGCAAAATATTTGCGTTTTTCGTCATAAATACCAGCATAGCCTTCCCTATCGAGTTCTTCCAGTTTTTGTCCAACCTCCCTCATCTCAGGTGCATTGTAATAAGCGAAAGCCCTCTGCAATATCCGATATTGAGTGACAGCACTTGCGCCAATACTGAAGAACATGCAATCAACTCCGAGAATGCAAGAAACCATTACCACCAGAAATCCTATTGTATGTGAAATATATACGAGTTCGTAAATAGGAGAGGGACTCCAGTCGAATGAATACTAAAATTTAAGATAGGTATTAAAGTTTAGATTTAAAACCGGATATAATTCAAATAATTTTAATTTCTTATTTTGTTTAAAAAAACCTTTAATTATTGTTGCTAACAACTAGCATTGCGATGAACATAGGTATTTACTATGGTGTGTAATATATAGAAGATTTAGAGAAGAATGTAAAAAGTGTAACAAACATGATAACTTTTGTTTATGTTAATATTATTCTGAAGCTATTTTTTGCGGCATTTTAAATTAATTACTATTTAACTGCGAATAAGCCACAATTAAAGGTTAAAATACGTTTATTGAAGTTTTAATTTCCACTTCGGAAATCGTTCTCAAAATACAAACAGTAAATTTACTTTAATAAAGTTTGTTATGATTCAAAATAAATTTTATTTTAAATTTTTGAGGGTGATATCCTTAACATGTTATTGAAATGCCATGTAAATGTCTTGTTTGTGATCACGGAACTTAAAAAAGCCAAGCATCACTTTTCAGGTAACTCATTTTTGAAAAGTATATTTTTTATAAACATTAGATTATGTGTAGATAGTTAGTAAAGGCGTTTATTTTATGTAATAAATAAATTGTTATACATTGTAGTAAATCATGCACAATTTCAATGAAAGCTGAAGCAGTCGTTAGCAGCTGAAGAAGGTCAAAGTGTTACAGCACCTAAATCATCCGAGGAGTCCAGTGACGATAATGCAAATAAAAATCTTTAATAAGATGACAACAACAATGACGCTGATATTAACAAAGATAAAGGGGAGGTTGAATACTTTTGTCCTCCATTAGAAAACTTAATGAAGGGAAAATTCCTGCTGGTAATTTTTTTTCTGGTTCTCGGAAAAGACAGAATTTCGTTGTCTGTAAGGCAAAAGAAGTTTTAGAAGAAGAAGAAATCAAAGTTTAATGCCTTAAATCAGCAGAAGTAAGGAAGGTTTTCTAAATAATTAAAAATGATTTATCCAATGTTTCCCTCAATTAAATACATACCTGTTTTTCTACCGACATCCGACACTTGAGATAATTTCTGATATGATAAAAAAATATTATTTTCGTGGAGAAAGTAATATTAAAGGATGTTCAATCTAATTTTCTATTTCTTTAAAATAATTTGAATTTCATTTTTAGTTCTTAAGAATTTATTTTTTTTTGTAACAAGAATGAATAGTGCAATAAAACTAGATCAATCTCTCCCCAAAAATTCAAAAAACTGTTTAACCGAATTACTTAGGCTTGAGATTAACCATACTCTATTTAAAAGCACTATTATTTTCCGCTGTAAAATCATCATGATTAATCTAACCCCAATAACGGGTCTAAGATTTCTCACCCTAAGTGAGTGAGATTTCTCATCCTTAAAGAAAATCCAGTTTCATAACTGGATTTTCTTAAGAATAATAAACAAAGAGACCTTAAATGTGACGACTGCCCAAAAAATTACATTGGTCAAACTAGTAGAACTTTTAACAAACGTATAGCAGAACATAAAAAGGCTTTCAATAATAGAAAAACAGATTCTACGTAAGCGCTTCACTTTCTAGACCATAGTCAATATTTTAATGGAAAATTCCAAATTCTTCACATTCAAAATAAAAGCCTTAAGGAATCTATGGAAATTAATAAGTTAACAGAATACAGACTTAATTCCGAATGACCTCAAATTTATAATCACCACTAAATATCTTTTTAATCAGCCTCGGTTATCCTTGTATTTGGTAAGACAAACAGTTCTTCCCTTTTCAACTTATTAGTTAAAGAATATAAAGGGTAAACGCTTACTAAAAATAGATCCCTTGAGAAATGCGCTCTGCCAAAACAGTTGTAGTAGTAATATATTAAAGTAACTTGTATTATAGTTTTAAATTCTAAGTTTTCAGTGTTTTATTGTTAAATATTAATTTATAAATAAGTTTATTATTTACGTTAAGTATGTAAAAATTTTTTAGGCTTTATTTAAATACCTATATATTATTACCTTGGCCGGAAATGGGAGTTGTCTTTTTTCGGCAAATAGTGGAACCACTAAAAATACTATACCAAACAATAATCCAGCACTTAAAAGAGACAGCATTACAACCATAATAATAAAATAAAACGTTTTTAATCGTTTACTTAAATCTTCCCCTACCAAATTATAGGGCCAAAACTTTGTTAAGATATCATCTATAAGTTCTTTTAGTTCTGAAGCGTTGTACCACATAACAATAGCCTTATATGAAGCCTAAAACAATACAACAAACTAGAATTGATAACACTGATTAAAGTTTTGCTAATTCTAAAAATATATGACATTTAAATAAAAGATTTCCATGTAGGTAGTATTTAATAATAATATAATATATAATAATATAATCTGTAAGTAAGCAAAAAATATATCGTATTAATGCAATTTATTTTATATAAAAAAAGCGTAGTTACAATAACATCGTAGTAATAATGAGCACAGTTACAAAGCAAACGAAAGCACCGGGAAAAAAGTTTTCATCAAACATCATCCCAATTTTAGGTTTAATGTTGACTCTCTTAATTACTTTTATTAATCACTCGCAACTGGTTGGAAGAAGACCAAGAGTATCAGAATATTGAAGATCACTGTCATTATTTTATGACTGCAATAAACAACATTACTTTTGAATTAATCAAAATCAAATCTAATAATCAAGAGTGAATGAATAACTATATAGTAAGCCTTAAGGAAAAAACCTTGAAGCCTTAAAAAAGCCATAAGGAGATCTTAAAGATCATAAAGAATAAAGCAACCTACAAAAAGAAATAAGAAAAAAATATATGAACAGCAAAAGACGACTGGTTTAGAGAAAAATGTTTTGAAATTGAAAATCTTTAAAAGAGGTTGTTTTGCAACAATTAGTAAAAGTTGTGTAAAAATCATGGAAGTGATTAGAATAGTTAAAAATCGCAAACTGAAGTATTTTGATCATGCTATGCGTCACCCAGATATAATAAACTTTATTTAATAATACAAGGCAAGGCAAGAGGATCCAATTTGATTGCCAACTCACTATAATCAAGCATGGCAGAGGAAGAAGAACAAGACAGTTACTTAATTTGACAGTTGTTTTCCTGCACCTTCATTGTATGCATGTCTTATATTCCTAGTTCCGGTCTTTAGCTTTTTCTTTGATAATTTTTTCTTTACCTATTTTTTAAAACTTTTTCATCAGTTTTTTTCTTTTTGGATTACATGGCTTCTAATATTTATTTGCTGCTAAATTCCACAATTCCATCTATTTTAATTTTTGTAAACCTCATTTTAGTGACATATCACAGCTAAAGGGTCTGCAACTAGACGAATTAAATGATAAAATACCAACAGAACTACTAGAAGCAGGCCTAAAGATTGCTAATAAACAAAAGCGAAAACAACAAAAAATTAGCGCTAAATCACAAGATATGCTAAAAAAACGACGACAACTACTGAATGATAACAAAAGAAATACAGTGGAGTATACCGAACTGAATAAAACCATAAGAAAACAGATAAAGGAAGATTTAAAGAAATACCAAGAAGACCGCATTAAGAAAATCATAGAGAAGAAACAAAAGTTTAAAAACAATAAAGACAAATATAGGAAAAAGAAAACTAATCATGCTTAAAGCTGAGAACAATGAAGAAAGAGATCTAGGAGAAATAGTAAAAATCACAGATTCTAAAAATGATACACTATCATCTAAATAGAATCTCACGAGAAAAATACAAAATGTTGGCTCAGAGGTATTACCAGAAATAACTGAAGATGAAATCGAAAAATCCATAAACGACATGAAAAGAAATAAAGCGGCCGGTGAGGATAAAATACTGGCAGAACTGCTAAAAGAAGGAGGAGACACGATAAAAAAAAATGCTATAAATACTGTTTCAACAAATGTCTGTTTGAAGGTAAAATACCCAAACAACGGAGAAATGCCAACACAATCTTAATACATAAGAAAGGAAACCGAACAGACCTAAACAACTACCGTCCTATTTCCCTTTTGTCACAACTACATAAAACCTTCACAAGAATAATAAACAACCGACTAACCTATAAACTTGATAACTACCAACCAGTGGAACAGGCCGGATCCAGAAAAGGATACAGCACAATCGACCATCTACATACGCTTAAAATCTTAATTGAGAAAACCAATGAATACAACCTTCCGCTGTACTTAGCATTCGTAGATTATGAAAAGGCTTTCGACAGCATTGAACACTGGGCGGTTGAAGAAGCTCTGGTCAATAGTAGAAATAGATTCAAGATACCGACAATTGATACATGATATTTACCAAAATGCAACCATGACCGTAATTCTGGACGACAAATTAATTACGGATAATATAAAAGTTAAACGAGGAGTCCGACAAGGCGATATAATTTCACCTAAACTGTTTACCTTGACCCTCGAAGACATAATAAAATCAACAGATTGAGAAAACAGAGGAATATGTATTAACGGAAAATACCTAAATCACCTTAGATATGCGGATGATATACTCCTGATCTCCTCGGAACGACAAGAACTGGAATTAATGCTGAATGAACTTCATGAAAAATCACTGCAAAAAGGCCTAAAAATTAACTTCAACAAAACAAAAGTAATGACAAACACGGAACACCAAGAGACAATAAAAATAAAAACAGAAAAAATAGAACCGGTAAATGAGTATATCTATCTAGGACAAGCAATCAGAGCTAATAGAGAAAATCAAACAGCCGAAATATCGAGACGAGTAAGAATGGGATGGGCAGCGTTCGGCAAACTTTCTTACGTTCTAAAAAATCAAACAATCCCTCTATACTTACGAAGCAAGGTATATAACTCCTGTATCATACCGGTGCTCACCTACGGAGCACAGACATGGACATTTACACAGGCCAATTTGGATTGGATAAGGAAGGCACAAAGAGCGATGGAAAGACACATGTTGGGTATATCACTTAGAGATAGAAAACGTAACCAGTGGATCAGAACCAGAACAAAGATAGTAGACGCGATAGAAGCAGCAAAACTGAAATGAAAATGGGCTGGACACAATGAACGTCTCCAAGACGGACGATGGAATAATGCCATCGGAAAGTGGCGTCCATACAATGCAAAGAGATCCAGAGGCAGACCACAGATGAGGTAGAAAGATGACATCAGGAAACAAGGAGGTCCCACATGGCAGAGAACAGCTCAAGATAGGGAAAGATGGAGAGAACTGGGGGAGACCTATATCCAACAATGGAAGGATAGAGAATAGGTTAAAAAAAAAACCTCATTTTAACTTCTTCCCATTTTTGCGTTTGCTTTTTTGATATTCGTTTAACATGGTTTTGTGTTTCTCACTCTTGTTTGTTTCAATTATTATTAATTAAAATGCTTTTATTCCGATTCCTCGCTTAGACTATTTTTTATTAAAAAAAGCGCATCCACCAAAGGTTATAACGACGGAACAAAATATAAATTGTATAACTTCAGATTATAGAAAATGTTTAAAGATCTTAAAATAATTCATTATATTTCTTACCTAGAGGTTATGCTAGAGAGCTCGAGATATTATAACGTCTGTCTTGTCTTTCTTGATCATAATATATATTTTTTTAACCTATTCTCTATCCTTCCATTGTTGGATATAGGTCTCCCCCAGTTCTCTCCATCTTTCCCTATCTTGAGCTGTTCTCTGCCACGTGGGACCTCCTTGTTTCTTGATGTCATCTTTCCACCTCATCTGTGGTCTGCCTCTTGATCTCTTTGCATTGTATGGATGCCACTTTCCGATGGCATTGTTTCATCGTCCGTCTTGGAGACGTTCATTGTGTCCAGCCCATTTCCATTTCAGTTTCAGTTCCATTTCCATTTAGAAATGGAACCATTTAAAATGGAAATGAAGATCATAATATTTACCACAATTTACTAAATGTTCAACTGTTAATCGAACTTTACACTGATCACATATGGGTGGCTTATTCTTTGTGAAAAGGTAAGAGTGTATTAACTTGGTATGTCCTAGACGTAGACGAGCAAGCACAATTTATTCATACCTGATAAGTCCGATGGAATCCACTGGGAAACATTGTTGATCTTAGTCAGCTTAGAATTAGTTTGAGCCCACATATTCTCCACAAGCACAACACTTTATTTCTAAAATGTTTCTTTTAAGTCACTGGAAACACACTAGTTTATAGGCAGCGAATAATCACTTAAAATTGCCTGTCGTGCAATACTTTTTGTTACAAAAAAATCTCAACACATTTAATCTTTTATTACAGTAAAGGATGAGTTGTGAGATGTGATCTTTCCATGTAAGCTTTAAATCCAAGATTAAACCCAAGAATTTGTTATGATCTCTAAACTCTAGCTGTTTCTCATAGATTCTCAGGGTTGGGGGTTGTGGCAAGGAGCTTAAAGATAATACAACTTCTATTAATTTTTCTATTGAGAATTGAAAACCTGTAAGGTGGGACCTTATTTGAAATTTTCAAGAGTATCTAAAAAGTTTTGAAGTATTGAGGACATTAAGGAGATATTTTTGCCTTTAACAGATACCACTAGGTCGCCAGCGTATAAACAAGCTATTAAGGGTGCTTGAATATTTTTGATTATATCATTTATTGCCACTAAAAATAATGTTGGACTGAGCATGGATCCTTAGGGTGTACCATGTTCCAAACGATAAATATTTGAAACAATGTTATTTATTTTTACTTGAAAAGATCGGTTGTTAAAAAGTTTTGTATGAAAACAAGACAGTGACATTGAATATTTCAGTTATGAAGTTGTCTCACAATCTTACTTTCTGTATCTCACTTTACCTTTACAAGTCTAAAATGTTATTTGTGGTTGACCGATGTTTTCTAAAGCCATTTTGCTCGAAGATTAAGAAATTGGAATTTTCTAAAACCCATAGGAGGCTGGAGTTAATAATATTTTCTAGTAATTTACACGCTGTCGATGTCAGAGATATAGGTCGGTATGATTCTTGGTCATATTTAGGTTTATTAGTATTTAGGACAGGAATGACTATTGCCTTTAACTAAATAGCTGGCCATTGGTGGCGAAACCAAATTTTGTTTATTATCTTTAAGTGGAACCATAATGTTTAAGAGATACATTATGACTAAAACAGGAAGATGTTTCAGAAATGTTGAAGGAATATCTTCAGGACCAGGACTAGAATCCTTTAGGTTAAGAAGAGATGAGCTGATGAGATAATTG